ATCTCTAAAATTGTGAGTGTCTTGAAAACCTGTTTCAGCAAGTAAAAGATGTCATCAAGGGTATTGCTCCCTCTGAGTGCTCCTCTTAATGGTGAAGCTGATCAGATGGATAAAACTATATCTGAGCACCTCACTACCCATCATTAGCATGACTTTATTTTTGTAATGTACTGGAAATAGAACAGATAGATAGACAGATAGATAGACAGATAGATAGATAGACAGACAGACATGAGGTACTGAGGAACCTTCATAACTGAGGCTTATAGTTTAGAGTGACACAGGCACTATGTGATAGCAAGCCCGCTACAGATTGTTTGCTACAGAAATCAAATAGTTTTCTGGAGACATGGGCATGAAAGTTATGATTGTATAACTCAGCAGTAGCATGTTTTCACCTAGACTGGAGACAAAGGGAGAACTTACGACCTATGATTTGTTCTTTACCTTCCATCTCTTGCTGCTTGTTTAGAATGATTTTACACACTGTTCTCTGCACCCAATGTGTTTAAGAAAAGGAATCAGTCCACAAGAGCAGTCTGATGCCAAACGTAATTCCCATTTGTCAGAAACTCCCTAACTGTCAGGTAACTATCAGGTTCCACTGAGAAGGTGTGATACAGCCTGAGTTTCCTATTGCTGCCTCAAAGGAATCAGAAGTGAAGCCCTAAAAGGGGTCCATTACCAAGTTCCCTTTAAGATTACACATCCTCCTGTTTGTCAGGCTGACTTACGCACAACCTAAGCACCATCATGGAGCTGCTGACACATTACTAAGCAGTGACTTCTCCTTCTGGCTATTGGCTGAAAACCATTTTTAAAACTGTAAATAGCTTCTGATAATAGTCACACAAGCTATTAATGTGAGCACTAGAATTCAGCATTTTAAAAGACATAATATGTTAAATTTACAGGGGGAAATACTTGAAGAGTTGTCTTTGAAAGGCAGGGACAATAAATCTTTCAGGAAAAGCCACTGAAAATGATTTTAATAATACAAATTTTTTAGCTAGTTACCAAGTGGAGCACTGGAGCTGCATAAAGAATGACCCTGCCATGTTTGACAATATCTAAATATTCCAACACACAGTTAAAACAACAGGTGCCTTATAGGGTTGGTTTTATGATGAAGAAAAATGGAATGATTTCACGGTGCTATCTTCTTCTAAGAGCTGTGACCAAATACTGGAAAATAGCCATTCTCAAAATCTGCCAGTGACAAATTCTCCTCATTGCTCAGAATTAATTTCTGTGGCTTCTGAAATTCTGTTCCCTCAAGTTGCATACTTAGCAGTTGAAGATAGTATTCCACAGCTAGGAATCTTAGCACCTTGGAGCTGAGGAACTACACTTAAATTATGGATTTTTTTCTTTCTCACAATGGGAAGAAAAACTACCCCCTCTAAAATTTTCCTACTGTTAAGCAAAGATGTCAGTCAAGAGGAACATCTCCCAGATTTGTGATATCACTTTAGCTTGTAGGACCGAACGTCATCTTTTCAAACAGCACTTTGATACCTGCCACAAAGCAAGTCAGCAAAACAGTGCTGTAGCAGGTCTGCTTCCAAGCACGCTCCAGCAAGACACTAAACAGGATGAGTCACATCAGCTATCCTGTTACTGTCATGGCCTTTATCAGCTTTACAGCCACCACAAAACACTGGTCTTTAGAATGAAAGGGATGACAGTTGAGAAAGTTCAGCCAGGGTTAAAAACTAGTTATTACTGACAAAATGTCCTTATTATCAGCATTTTCCTTCTTTGACAGCAGCTTTCTCCAATAACAGCAGAAGGAAAGGAGCTATTTCTGACTGAATGCACATATTTTCTGAAATCCCTTCTGATGTACCTTTTTCTCTGATAGAGACCACCATTCTTTGTCTTGCATATCTCCCTACAAACTCAAAACTGTGTGCACATAGGCTCTAGGCACTGGTCTGTGCAGCAGCTCAGAGACAAACATTTGTTAGGAGTTCTTTCAAAGTATTTTCACTTACCTTTTATGCCCTCTACCATCCTTCATTTGGGGTGCATTGGGTGGGGGGTTAAGTGCACATGTATGTGCGACATATGAGTTGGCACAAACACAGCTGATAAAGACTCTTATCTACAGATGTATTGAACTTTTCTCAAAAAAAAAATGCTCTGCTCAGTCCTTATTCAGAAAACACTGAATATCTGATATCTAGTTAAATAGGGGAGAGCATAGCACTGGCCTCATGAAATAAGCGAGGCAGTCAAGGTAGAAGAGTAATCCCACTTCTGACAGTCATTTCCTGTGTCAGGCTCCAGTCAAATTCAAGAAATGGAGGAGTGTTTAAGAGTGCCAGGATAAGGGTGCAAAATCTATGCAGATACATTTAAAAATATCATTTTTTCCATCCAGCTACATTCTATCAAACTTCACTACAAGACTGGGTTTTACAGGAAAATCAATTCAGAAAGCAAATATTTTCAGTGGATCAGAAAGTTCATCTGAGGTGAAATTGATTAAAAAAAAATTAAGAATTACAGCAACTGTCTTTTCACAACGTGCTGTGCTCAGTGGGATGCTTCTTCCACTTGTTCTCAGAAAACACTTGTCGGAAGCAATCTGTCATCCTCTTCCCACTAACAAATTACTCAATGGGGTATATATGTGGGAGAACTCCATTCATACCCCATGTCTTCTAGTTTAGACAAGAAGCTTCTAGCTGTGATGTCCTTTCTCATTAACTTTTTCTGAAGCTTTTTTATTTCCTGTTGAGATTTATTTATTACAGCAAGGACTGCAGCCCAGGCCTCCCTATTCCCAAGTGATTGCCTCTAGACTCAGTATCTGATTAAGTCCAACAAATACCAGGTATTCTGAAGTAGAACTATTTCAAAAAGAGAGGTGAATAAGCCTTTGCTATTTTATTCTCAGGTAAGCTGCCATTCAGGAAACTATTTCTAACCATCCTTTGGGCATTTGCCAGTAGAAGCAAAGCATGTCACTAGTGATTTTGAAACAAAAGGCAGTGTTTCAAAATATTGGTAAAATTACGTTGGATGGTTACAGTAATTCATTCACTCTCATGCCACTTAATCATAATAAGCAGTTGTCTTCAGAACCTGGTTTACTGTTATTTTGTGCCAAGGAATGACTGCTGATGTTATGTTGTCATCTCTCCCTGACACTTGATATTCTGGAACTGTTTTCCACATACCAAATAACAGACTCCCTAATGAATGTAAAAAACCTGAGGCAAGCTGTACAAATCACACATGGGCCATTACCTTCCCCTCTCCAAGAAGCTCTAGGGAGGCTGGCATGTAAATCAGAAGCTGTGCCGTAGGTGCTGCTTTCCCCATACTGAGTGCAGTTCAGAAGACATGCTCACAGTGACACAGGAGCAGCTGCCCTGAGAAAGGAGAAAACCTGTTCCACACAGCTATGTAGGAAGATAGACATGTTCCACAAGAGCTTTATTGCTCTTCCCTATAAAATCTAGAACGTATATTTGAACTTCTTACTGAAAAGTGAAATATTGGATTGCAGGCAGTAGGTCTATGAAGGTACCAGTTCACTTCTCAGTGAAAAAATTGCATATCAAATCTCAGAAAACCTTTGATACAATCCTTTATCCACCGTATTTTTTCGTAAGAGTTTGGCCTAATAGAATCTGTCCCAGTACAATAGTGACTTCACTTCTACCACAACTGAGTTCACAGAAAATTGAGTTTTTTAGAAAACTTTGTCCTGCCCAAGCAATTTCCTGTGAACCTCACTGCAGGCATCCTTTGAGGGCACCCTCAGCAATTTGCTGACGACACCAAGCTGAGTGGTGCGGTTGGCACGGTGGAAGCAAGGGATGCCATTCAGAGGGACCTCGAGAGGCTGGAAAGGTGGGCTTGGGTGAACCTGATGAGGTTCAACACGGCCAAGTGCAGAGTTTTGCACTTGGGCCGGAGGAATCCCAGGCATCCATGCAGACTGGAAGGAGCGGTGCTTGAGAGCAGCCCTGCAGAGAAGGACCTGGGGGTCCTGATGGATGAAAAGCTTAACATGAGCCAGCAGTGTGCTCTTGGGGCTTGGAAGGCAAATGGTATCCTGGGTTCCATCAGAAGAGGGGTGGCCAGCAGGGACAGGGAGGTGATTGTCCCCCTCTACTCTGCTCTTGTGAGGCCCCATCTGCAGTACTGCGTCCAGGTCTGGAGCCCCCAGTGCAGGAAAGACTGGGAGCTGTTGGAGAGGGTCCAGAGGGGAGCCACAAAGATGATCAGGGGACTGGAGCACCTCCCCTATGAGGACAGGCTGAGGGAGCTGGGCTTGTTCAGCCTGGAGAAAAGAAGGCTGTAGGGTGACCTCATTGCAGCCTTTCAGTACCTAAAGGGAGCCCACAAACAGGAGGGGAATCAACTCTTTGAAAGCGTTGATAAGGGCAGACAAGGGGAAATGGTTTTAAGTTGAGGGAGGGGAGATTTAGGGATTAGTAGATGCCCCATCCCTGGAGGTGTTCAAGGCCAGGTTGGATGGGGCCCTGGGCAGCCTGGTCTGGTACTGAATGTTGAGGTTGGTGGCCCTGTATGTGGCAGGGGAGTTGGAGATTCATGATCCTTGAGGTCCCTTCCAACCCAGGCTGTTCTGTGATTCTGTGATTCTGCAGAAGAGAAGGCACAGAGATCTGCTGCAGCTTGTCAACATTACATGCAAATCACTACAAAACATAGAGCAAAGATGTTCCAGTACCTCATGGTACACCTCATTACATCAATGTGTCTCAGCTCCAAGTACGAGTAAAGAAAACTGTAGCTACGTCTACACTTCACAGCTTTGAAGGTCTAGCAACAAATGTAGTGACTAGAATCTTGTGTGCATATGGGTTTCTGTTTTTCCAGCTGCATTTGTGAATGAGAATTCAGCTTCTGCTTACAGAAATGTAGATTCTCAAAGGTATAATTTACCTTTATTTCCTACGGATTATGTCTAGGGAAAACTGTTATTATTGCTTCATATTTTTTCTGTTTCCTTGGAACAGGATAATGTGGATCTTGGTGACCTGATGTTTTCACTCTGCTACCTTCCAACAGCTGGTAGACTAACTATTACAATAATAAAAGCAAGAAATTTAAAGGCAATGGATATCACAGGAGCATCAGGTAAGAATTTATTTAATGCTCAGTGTGGATTAGTGTCCCATTTCCCTCCCAAGCCACAGAACTCCAGTATTGTCATTTACCAGAATGTTATTTGAAACGAAGTGTTTTTACACTGCAAGCTCTTAAGTCTCCTTAGGAATTTCTGAGAAATAAATAATGTTCATTCTGGTTTAACCAACAGTTTAAAACAATCTCCTCTCTATAAGAGAACAACACTATTACTTCTGAAGCAACCATCATTCAAAACAGGATGAGGTGGCAAAGTTGATTTCATATTAGAGACTGGATCATACAACAGATTATTTGTTGTGGCACAGAGGCAAACTGACCCTTGACAGTCTCCAAGAGACACCAAACCAATTCTGCTGCTGTTGGCATATGGACATATGGACATATGGACATATGGACATATGGGCATATGGACAAAACAGTCATCCCAAACTCCTTTCAACAACAGTTTCAAAATTGGCTAATGAAAACACGAAAAGCTAAATTAAATAAGAGCTCATAGATTCATTTTTCATACTAGAAGTAGAACTCCCAGAAAGGATCTACAATGACTTTCTCCTCTCCTCTCCTCTCCTCTCCTCTCCTCTCCTCTCCTCTCCTCTCCTCTCCTCTCCTCTCCTCTCCTCTCCTCTCCTCTCCTCTCCTCTCCTCTCCTCTCCTCTCCTCTCCTCTCCTCTCCTCTCCTCTCCTCTCCTCTCCTCTCCTCTCCTCTCCTCTCCTCTCCTCTCCTCTCCTCTCCTCTCCTCTCCTCTCCTCTCCTCTCCTCTCCTCTCCTCTCCTCTCCTCTCCTCTCCTCTCCTCTCCTCTCCTCTCCTCTCCTCTCCTCTCCTCTCCTCTCCTCTCCTCTCCTCTCCTCTCCTCTCCTCTCCTCCTTTTTCACTGCATCCATAATTATAATTCTCTTCAGAAACATAAACTGCAATTTCTTACACTTGGAATTATATTTAACCATACATCAATACTGTGTACAATGCTGTCATCTTCTGTCTAACCTATAAATTTGTAAAAGTAATTACGTTGTTGTAAATACACTGATACATGGGCTGATGTATAAAACAGTCATAGTTCAGTGGATAATTTAATACTCTTTCAGAAGTCAGTACCCAAAGAAAAACGTATTGAAGCTGAATTGTTCATTATAGGATTTCCAACAGGTAAAGCTTTCCAATGTCCATTGTCTCCCAGTCATTCCATGGTAATAAAGAAGCTCAAATTCCAGACGCAAGTGACTGCAAACTGCACACAAGAATACTGCCTTTACTTTCCATCTATGTTTTCATAAAAAACAACAAAAGAAAACCAACGTTGTTCTTATGATTCACACAGATCCCTACGTGAAGGTTTCTTTAATGTGTGAAGGAAGGCGACTAAAGAAAAGAAAAACTTCCACCAAGAGGAACACCCTTAATCCCGTTTACAATGAAGCCATAGTCTTTGATGTCCCTCCAGAAAACATTGACCAAATTAACTTGTCGATAGCTGTGATGGATTACGACCGGTGAGATACCTGTAGCTGTAAAATAACATTATCTCAAAATCTGGTATAGTAGTTTTGCATCCAGGAATGAAGTTATCCTTTTTCTCGCAATGGAAGGGAAATTAAATATTTTCTCATGCTGAATTAGGTGGAAGACTAAAATGTCTCATTGTCAGGCAGAATTTCCTTTCTAAATTTTAAAATGCAGATTTGCATCCATAACAAACATAACTAAGCTGCATGTGTTTACCAGAACAGAAATAACTGAACATACAATCAGTTCAGACACTGATTTTCTGTTTATGAGCAACTGCACTAACCCCTCAGACACATGCCTCAGTTTATAAAATTCGGCTCAGTTTACTTGTATTTGTAACTAATTACAGAAAACAAACAACAATTTACATTTCTCATACAAAAATAAAATAAATGCATCTAGAAACACAGTGTTTGCTACCATGGATAATATACTAAATTATTTTGATTTGTGGAAAATTCAAAGACTTGTAATTTATACTTTATTATATTATACTACATTATATATCAAAAAAATCATGATTATTGCCTCTATGAAATATGCAAATGGTATGATTCTAAAGGTAATATTTTATGAAAAGCATATTATGGAACATTTTCACAGTGTAGGTCACAATGAGGTCATTGGAGTATGTCAAGTAGGCAACGATGCAGAAAGTCTAGGTCGTGACCATTGGAATGAAATGCTCTCATATCCTCGGAAACCCATTGCCCACTGGCATCCTCTTGCAGAGGTAAGAATTTTTCCTTGCTTTCCCATTACTATAACTGTTAAAATCTTAGTATATGGCATTAGAAATAGGATGAAATTTTACAAAAAAAAACAAGATCCACAAGTATACCCTAAAGCCTAGAAAAGAGCTCAGAAACACCAATACTGATAACATGCAAATTAAGTCTGCTCCTTTCAATTTCATGGGAACAGAAAGTAATTAATATATTTGATAAATACACAAAAGCCACATACATTGTACAGTGGATAAAGGTTTCAGATTTTATTTTATTTGTTTGGGTTTTTTTTCTCGGTTGTTTTTGTTTTGTTTTTCAGACATAGGGTAGGGTAACTTTCAATGATAATTGATATGAAGAAGTGGGCTTCCTAAGGTTTACCAATACCTATTGTTTTACTATATAAAAACCTAATCTGATTACTTCTATTACTTCTATTGTAAGACTATGTCATCTAGCAAATCTCAAGGAATGTCTATCTATCCTGAAAAGGGGAAAAAAAAAGAAAAAAAAAAAGGTGTAAGTTTCTCTGGAGATTTGAGGCATTAATAAGAAGCCACGCAATTAGAAAAAAATTTCAAGGTTCCTATGGTTTTTGTTTTGTTTTGTTTTGTTTTGTTTTGTTTTTTGTCTTCAGGGCCCTATTCAGCAGAAATGTTATGCAGGTCTTCTGCGCTTGGATGGCTGCCGAAGAGGCTTCCTCACCCTTTTAACCTATTCAGCAGAAATTTGGCATTCCTGTTGAACTCTTTCTTAGCCATATCCTCAGGGGCTATTCCACAGAGTCCAGTGGGGTAAAGATGTCCTTTTAATCCCTCTGTTTAATCCTCTCCCTTCCCAATACAGGAAATGCTAATCTTGATTCATGAGACACAAAACTTCAGTGTTCAAACTAAATTGCTTCCTAAGAGTTCCCATGGTTTATTTTTATGGTTACTCTCACTGGTTGGAGTCGGGCAATAATCCCAGTCAGGAGAAGCTACTATATTTATGGACAGTCACAATTGTCTGCTGAAAGAAAAGAAAAATTATCATATTAAGCCATGTGCAATGCCATAAGCACCTGATATGTAGAGGCAGGCAGCTGACAGACACTTTCTGCAGTGTAGACTAGTGACCAGAATGCAACTAAAGACTTGGTTGCAAGCACCAGCATTAGGTTGTTCCGTAAGTTAAATGTCACACAACAGGAAGATGTTACAAAATGGCAGAAACACTCCAGCCTTGTCTGTCTCCATGATCAATTACATTTCCTGGTTCCTGGGGACAACAGAAGCACATTTTCAACAGGGAGACTCCCAGCCCATGGCAGCAGGGAAGCACTGTGAGAGAATGGGGATACCAACAGACAAGCATGGCTGTGAAGGAAGATCAAGCTAAGTCTGGAGCCCAGCTTTTTGTGCCCTCATTGAAAAGTTAGCTCCTGGCAAAAGTGCCACAATTGAAATACCCGCCTGGGCATTTGGGAGTTGAGTTTAGAAAAACATCACTGAGCTCTCAGCTGTAACCAAACCCTGATAGGAACGGACCAAGGGAACACATGAGGAGCACTGTAACAGTTAGTATGTCCCAGAAAATGAAAAGTGTCTCTTAGCAGAAGTTGGCTACATCCTTAAATCAAACTTGTCTTCCCTCTTTGATAAGTTTTATTGCAGCCAGAGCCCACAATCAGGTTTTGACAGCTCTTCCCTTTTTTGCAGGCAACCTGTTCTTTTCATACATGCCTTGCTCACTTCTTTAGATTTCATTGCTGTGAATTGCTTTTCATGCCACTGAGCTAAAGAGAGACTAATTTTTTTTTTCCCTTCCCAGGAATCAAGTGGGGGAGGGTATCCAGCGCATCCAGGCTGCGCAGAGAAATATATACACAGCATATCATTTTGGTTCCTGAATCAGGATTAGGCTCAGCGAGAGTTCTGGAACCTCTGTGGCCACAACCATAGGACCCTGAAAACTGCTGAATAGAACCCTCAGTCTTCAACTGTGTGAAGAGCTATTGGTTTTGAGTAGTGCAATATTATCCACTTGTAGCATTAGTTCTCCAGCTGACACTATTGCTACTGATAGATTTTTTGTATGGTCATAAGCATTACCCAAATTCAAGTCAAATGTTTTGCTCATTAGAATAACCCAGGTTTTACAAGCAACATGACAGCAGTGAAAACAACAGATATTGGAGCCAGCTTTAAATATGATTATTGTATTTGCAAAGGAAAAAAGAAGTGCAGTATTGTAAATGTAAAGCTATGTAAGTCATTTTTTCCCAAGAATGACTGTCATCAGACTTTTTTGATGGTGAGTTGTATCTTTCATCTCCATGTCTCCTTTCACCTGACATGAAAACAAGACTAATTCACTCCTTTGCAGATATGCTTCAAATCCTTCAAAGCTGTAAAAAGTTCTGTTGGGTGACAACAAGATACATGCAGTGTTTGCAATGATAGCGTGTTCTTTTAGAAAGAAGATAAGGATCTGTGTAGTATGGAGACTGGGAGCCCTCGGTGTTGTTAGATGATTTTCCAGTCACTGCTTTTCACTGTGTCCATAACACTGTGAAGGGCTGGAAGAATCTCACAGGTGGCTTTCTTTCATCATACACACAAGCACACACACACACCATTTTAAAATGCCACTCCAAACCTATATAATGTCTGTGAAGACTATTATTTGTAGTAGAACTAACATTGACAGGGCTACCTTAAATGATTGTACATTGTAAATGCTAATGAATTCTGACCATTTTAAAAATAAAAATAAAAATCAAAGCAAAGCACTGAATTCTTTCACATAATGAACTCTAGGTCCTGGAACAACAGTCCCTCGGATAAATTTTGCTCATTATTTATCCATGCATAGGGTTAACTCTTCCTTAATTTTTTCATAGAGAGACTTTGAATCAAGTTTTTACATCAATATCTTTACCTTAAAAGGGCAAATGCAAATTATGTGTGTATTATACAATCTAGTTGCCTGCTAAACACAGGTAGGTAGCCCTTGTCTTTGTATATACTGTTCAGGTAAGTTTATGCACATGAACATTGTTTTGCATCTTGTATGTGTTAAATGCTCACCATTTTCAGTTTCTAATTGAGCTGACACATGTGTGATTGTAAAAAAATCGAGAAAATATTTGCAACTTTTATTAAAAAAAAGTTGTATAACTTGTTATTTGAGGATCTTCCAGAAAACCAGAATTGTTAACAGGTAAAAACACAGCCTAATGGTTGCAGAAGATCTTAGAGCTGTTCTAAATGTGTAGTGTGGCTACAAAGCAGAAGTCTTAAAAGTATAGTTGTTATAAAAAAATAATAATAAAATGTCATGCTATGCTATGAAGAATTTAGCTATCACATACAAGGACACTCCTGGCAAACTCCACAACTGTTCAAAGCCTGCCTGAGCAAAATTTCAGATTGGTAACAGGTCACGTCCAGAACAAAAAAATACAAAGTAGCCCTAGCAAATGTATTTCAATACATGCTCAAGTGAAGCCTTATGTCAGCAGACCAGTGATGTAATACAGTGCTCGTAACTGTTCGTGTATGATCTTCACTTCAGGCAAAATTCTGCACTCTTTACTCAGGCACATCTCCCAGGAGCCAACATGGGGAGATAAGCACGAACAAAGGAGGAGGACCTTTTGCTTGTAAGTGGAGATCTTTGATTTCCTGGATAAATCAGCATAGATGCAATCCCACGTGGGCAAAGCAGGCAGCTGCATGCTTTCCCACTGCAATGGCTATTACCAGGGCAATGTTATGAACAGTAGCTTCTGTAAGAATGAAGAGACCTATGCAGCTAGTTCATTTTGTCTCCGTGGAACAGAGCAGAAATCTTTCTCAGATTTGCCTCAAGTGACTCAAAAGGGCGTCAGCAGAAAAGTAGTGTCATTGTAATTGCTAATGTTTTTTATTTTATTATCATACTCAGTTCATTTAATGCTCAAGGGGCTGGCATGAAGAGAATGATTTTGAAAACAGTTTGAAATATTCCTTTTACAAAGAAAAGAAAAATCTTATTTTTCATTTTTTTAATTTTCCTAATTCTTGCTCTCTGACTCATGACTTACAAGCTGTTACACAGGCTATGGCATTATTTTGTGCTTTATAAAAATATCTGCCTTTCCATAGCAGTGCATAAGTGGAACAGTAGTTGTTTTCTGTGCTTCTCCCTCTTCACCTTTTGACTCAACTTTATCTATGCTACTCCCTAGACCTTCAGTAGACCCATGTTACAATTCTGGTGAGCCAGGCAATAGCAATATTGGACAAAACAGAGCATCTACTGCTAGAACACCAGTTGGAAACGCAGTACTGTGATCCCAGTACTGGTCACTCTCTTTTCTGAACTATAATTCCCAGTGGTGAATTAGTAGAACAGCTCATAAGAATAACTCCAATCCTCCAACCTTTATTTGTTTTATTTCCTGTGAAGACACAATTATGCTGTATCACAAGTGTTACTGAAGCAAAAAGGGAAATCCCCTAGAAATGCATCTCAGCAAGATTTTAATCCCACTTTATTCATTAACAATATTCTATTAAACTCTTAGTTTTTCATAAGAAGCCACAATTTCAGATAGATTTTTTTATGAAAACAAGTGAGAGCTTTCCAAGGTTTTGATACTAAGTAGGCTATAATGGGCTGTCGTGTGAAATTCCAGGGCTAAAACACTCACAAGCACAACCCTTCTGCAGCTGAATGTTGAAATTCCTTTGTTTTCGCTGAAGTCACAAGGTATTAAAAGCACTTGAGGGTTTTGTGTGTCATTTTCCCCTGTAAATAATCCTGGCAATACACCAACCATACACGAATTGCAACCTGCAGAAGCAGGGACTAGAAGACAAAAAAAAAAAAAGCAAGCATAGAAAAAAGATCCGCCTCTCATACTATTCCTGCCAGTCAGTACACCTCAGCATTCTGTACCAGCTGATACATAAGGCAGCAAACTTATTATATAGGCGGGCAATGCAGCTGCCAGTAGCAGAACTAGTGCAACAGCAAAGGGCAGCAGAAAAGAATGAGAAGAAAGATTATCTTAGTTGAACCTATGTTTGGTTTGAGGAGTAGTTGGTATGTTTTTTCACTTTTTAAACTCCAATCATTATACAAAGCTATATCAACACTTGGCACCTAAAGGTAAATTGACAATTTTATCACCTGGCAATGTTAGAGCATCAAGGGGACTTTGCTATTAAAAAGGAATAGTAATAATAAAACTCTTAAAAGCTCTCCTTATTCTCTTCTAGTCTAAAAGGAACAAAAGATAAAGGGAAAGGGAGAAAGGACTGGAAATTTACTTGAAGAATCTTTTTGACCCATTTAGAAATCTATAATATTAAATTACTGTTAATGCATTTTGGGTTCATTGGAACAGAAAGAATTTAAAAAAAAAAATCACACAGTAGGTGAGTCAGCATGAAGTATTATCAATAAAATGTTTTCTTGCCTTTAGAACAGTGCATTTAAAAATATTTACATCTCAGTATCAATTGAGAAAACAATGGCTTTCTTGTTCCAAAAGAAAAAAAAAAAAGCATATAGAGAAAGTTATCCACCACACTGTAGAATTTAACATAAGCCTCCATGCTGAGGAAAATAGGAGCAGGACAGACTCTGTAACAACTTCACTTTGATACTTGCTGTAAGTACTGGAAAGCCTTGATTGCAACCATAATTCTGTTCCAAAGTGACAGCCTTATGATTCATGAATCAAGCTATGCAAGGTGTGAATTACTCTGCAAGAGCACAGCACACTCAGCTGAGCTGCTTTTAGAGTCACCATCTAATACAGTGAGTTGTGCAAGGAACTCTGGCTGAAGTCCTCCAGAGTCCCCAAAGGACCTCTGCCTCCTTGAAGGGCCATGAAATGCACTAGTCCAGGTGGCAGAAAGAGACACCATTCAGGAGAGGTAGCACCAGGACATACTCAGCTGCTGACTGAGCACAGCACACATGGTACGGAAGGGAAGGTGACATGAGAACTTGTAAGCATCTGGGTTGTTTGTTTTGTCTGGATTTTTAGTTAGTCTTTCCATTGCTCACTTAGACATTGTAAAACTGGACTGTTCTACTCAGTTGCATGCTGGCCAGCTGTCATTTTTAATGCCCCTTGCAAAGGTGTGTGAAGAGAGCTGTGTTGTTTTTGTGTACTTTCATTTTTAATAACACGAACATTGTACTGTACTTTATTATTTCCTGTTCAATAAATAGGCTTGGTATCTCTGTTTCATGTCTAATTTTCAAGAGCAGAGCCATTCCTGTACTGAGGCTCTCTCAACTAAGTGGACTTTTTTTTTTTCTTTTTTTTTTTTTTTTTTTGTTTAGTAAAAATAATGCATGATTTCTTTTCGCAGTGATGGTTTGAGGGACAAAAAATTTCTTAATTTTGTAATATGTACTACAATCTTCTAAACACAAGTAAAAATGTACTGTGATCTATTTATATAAATCTAGTCTGAACAAGTAATTTTGATCTTAATAAAAACTCTGTAAGAAATTGTGCAATTGTAATTTATTGCTATTTTGTATTTAATAAATGAAAGTTCAGTTCATTATTCAAAAACACTGAAAACACTTTGGAAAGTGTTTTAACTCCATTTTTTTCCATGGTTTTTTTCTATAAAATAAATGAGATCAGAGGAAAAAAAAACTGTTAACATGATAGTTACTGTCAATGGTTTACGGGCTGGTTGGGCCCAGTTCTGTGAGTAGCGGGGCAGAGGGATTTCACAAAGTCTGCACCTCCAGAAATGGGAAACAGGGGACCCCAAAATAATTAAAAACAGCAGCAACTGAGGAGAAACAAACTAGTTTGCTAAATGCAGTATTGGAATGCAAGATAACACACCGTAATACAATATAATTAGAACTGAAGCTAATAAATCAAAGATAATGAGAGAGTATCCGAAAGGTGGATGGGCCTCACCATAACGCTGAGGTGAGATGTACAGTCCTTGAGCAGCAGGGAGACAAAGAAGAGCCAACAAAGAAGAGGAAATCAGGTGACCTTGCCAGGAGTTCTATCTCCTCTCTGATCACAAAGCCCCCTGGGGAACATAGCTCTTCTTCTCTTCCAGACAGGTACCCAGAACTTGAGCATTAACAGTTAAACTCCCAGTGCACTACATGATGTTATGATGTGGAATACCAAAAACCAAAGATCACAAAACAATGACAGTTACTTTACTGCACTCCAACACGATTTGGGGTTTTGAATGCAGAATCTTCCTCTTGTTTACCTCTGTGGATGTAAAATATTTTTAAATATATCAAACATGAATCTCATATGTAATAATAAAGAATAAAAATAAAGAAGATACAGAAGTACTTTTACCAACACATAGTATGGTAAATTACCAAAATTAGTATTTAACATGGCAGGTTAGCAAGATTAGCATTCTTTTTGTCAAAACCTGACATGTAGCTTGGGGAAATTCCCAGGGTTCCACTGGCAGAGCCCAGAAACAAATGGAAAAAATAGCACAGATGTCACTGTGGTGTGACCACAAACTGTACCTAAAAGGGCTATATTCTTATTTTATTTCATATGAACTGAAATATTACATATGCATCAGCAAGGCTTCTACATGTGCATAACATCTAATTAACTTTGAGTTTCTCTATCTTTTTGGGGGGTAAGCTTGGTTTTTTCTCATTTGGAAGATCTAGCCTATGTGCAAATACTGCATTAATGAAGGGTCAGTGACATAAAAAAAGTGACAAAATAATTCCGTGCAACTGAAAAAAAAATTAATGTAGGTGTTGTCATATTTAGAGTATTTGACATCACAGATATATGGGAAAGGAAATCATAGCAAGCCAGTTATGTTGAAGTAACTATTATCACCAATAAAAGTAGAATTGCAGCTTGGGTTGGAAGGGAGCTCAAAGGTCAACCTCTCTGCCATGGGCAGAGCTGCTAACCACTAGATCAGGTTGTGCAGGGCCTTATCCTGCTGGCCTTTAACACCTCCGCATACTCCACAGCTTTTCTGGGGCAACTATCTCAGTGATGAAACTTTCCCTGACATCTAATCTAAATCTCCCTCCTTTAGTTTAAAGCCATTCCACCCTGTTCTACCACTGTCTACCCATGTTCAAAGTCGATTTCCCTCCTGTTCATAATCTCTCTTCAAATATTCAAAGGCCTCAATGAGGTCTTCCTGAAGCCTTCTCCAGACTGAATATGACAAGTTCCTTTATTATGTCTTTGTAGGAAAGGTACTCTAGCACTTTGATTATCCTCATAGTCTTCCTTTGGACCATCTCCAAAAGCTTTCCTGTGTTGTGGGACCCAGACAAGGATTCAGTACTCCAGATGGGTCTTTACAAGAGCAGAGTAGAGAGACAATCACCTCTTTCTCTCTGCTGGCCACACTCCTCTCTTTTAATGCAGCCTGGGATACCGTTATCCTTCTGGACTGTACAAGCACACTGCTGACTCATGTTAAGTTTTTATCTAGCAGGACCACAAAGTCCTTCTTGGGAGGGCCAAGTGTTCTCAAAGTGATCTCCCAGTTTGAATACATATATGGAATTGCCCTAACCCAAGTGCAACACACTGTACTTGGATTTGTTGAACCTCATTAGGTTTACACAAGGCCCACATTTCACATTTATCAAGGTCCCTTTGGATGTCATCCCTTCCTTCTGTACTACCATCTGAACCACTCAGGTTGGTGTCATCTGCAAATTTGCTGAGAGTGAACTTGATCCCATCATCTATGTCAGTGATAGTGATGTTAAAAAGTGCCAGTCTTAAGATGGACCCCTGGGGGACACCACTCATCACTGGCCTCCATCTGGACCTGGAGTCATTTGCCACAACTCTAGCTGCGACCTTCTGACAAACTCCTTATCCACCAAATAGTCCACCCTTTGAAGCCATATCTCTACAATTTAGAGATAAGGATGTTAAAGGTCTTGCAATCCAGGAGGACTATATAACTTGCCCTCACTTTGTTCACCGATGCTGTCACTCCATCATAGAAGGCCACTAGCTTGGTCAGGCATGAGCTGCCCTTGGTGAATCCGTGCTGGTTGTCTCAGCACCTGCAGCCCTAAACAGCCTCCTGTCTTTCTGCATTCCATACAGATGCAGGGAAAGGAAATATGCGCTCTAGACAGCTTCCTTGACAAGATCATAAGAGATGGAAAGACGTGAATAGGTGTCAATGACTGTCAACGTTAGCTATCCCCCTCTGTCCCAGAAGATAAACTAAACTAGACTATAGCAGGAAATATTTAAGAACTTAAGAAGTGTTTTTAAACGTCTTTTATTTTTTATATTTGTCAAAAATATTCTTTTCATGTTTCTTTGTTAAAAGTAAAAGCCTCTTCCTCCGTCAAAACAGGCCTACACACCTCTTTTCAAGACCCTTTTCCAGCAGAGTCATCATTTAACTCTCCATATAACCAACATATTTTAAACAAAACTTCAGTAAAACAGGGACAGCTGAAATACTGATTGCAGCAGTCTTCGTGGGCAATGCTATTAATAAACCAAAAGTGACAAGCAAAAGGTTGATAATCCCTGTATAGTCAATGAATAGACTCCAAAGGTAGCCGTTTTCCAGGAAAGGAAAATAAACCATGCTGTGACTGAAATTTGTCACAGTTGGCCCTGAAAGCTGTTTCTAATAAGCAACATCTTTTTCCCTTTTTTTTTTTTAATTTTTTTTTTAAACACTTCTATAAATGTTAAGCAAAAGCCACACTCTGCCTTGAAACAGAAATCAGCAGATCTACCAGAGTCAAATCCTACCCTTCCATGACTTGTACAAATAGGAAGCTGTAATGTTCAGAACTGGAAACTGAAATTGTTCCTTAGCAGCTGTGAGAACACAGCTTGTTTCAAGTAACACTTTATCACTGTGATCAGTATTTTAATATTGCCATTTAAACAGGATCAAATCCTTTGCTGGAAATGCTTAGGCGTTTCTTTTCCAAATTAATTAATGACATGGTAATCTGGTGCACCATGCTGTCCAAAAGGTCATAGCCTTAAACCACTTAAAATTGCAAATAACCATTAGTGAATTTATGTTCCAATAAAATAACCTGTGTTCCATAGCATAAGATGTGCCCGAGCAGACAAGTCTGCTCCAAGGAGCCTATTAAAGAATGACGGAAAAGTTCAGTTAAGGTCTAAAAAAAGCCAAAACAAACAAACAAACAAACTATATAATTTTAAGCCCATCAACTGAAATTGCAACAATTTGAACTTTCTGAATGATTTTCAACCTTAAAAAAAAAAAAAAAAAGATTTCTTGAGCAAATATACCCCTATATGAGTAAATAAATCACTGAAATTTGGTGAATAATCTCACAGTTTAAAATAAACAATTCTAATCTCACCTAATCTAATCTAAAATCTTTTACTCATACTACATGTATTCTTTGGTATAAAACATTATCTCTCCAAACATGACAGCATTTTACTTTCAGTTCAAATTTTTTTAACATATACCATATGTCTTTGCTAAGCCTGATCCACTCTCCTCCATTGCCCAGGAGGAATCTCACTCAGATACTAGCTTACCCAGGCCATGCAACATCAAACATAGTAGTAAAGTTCAATTGACCCCTAAAGGAAATTCTGCTTCATTTTGAATTTCATAACCAAATTCCTAAAAAAATATTTTAAATTAATAGGAAAGGACTTTGGGAGCTACAAGAACTGCAAACACCCCTAAGTCTTATGGCTGCATCAAGTAGAACAATACAGAATCACAGAACGGCCAGGGTTGGAAGGAACCTCAAGGATCATGAATCTCCAACCCTCCTGCCACATGCAGGGCCACCAACCTCGGCATTTAATACCAGACCAGGCTGCCCAGGGCCCCATCCAATTGAGCACCTCCAGGGAAGGGGCATCCACAGCCTCTCTGGGCAGCTGTTCCAGCACCTCACCACTCTCTCTGTAAAGAATTTCCCCCTGACATCCAACCCAAATCTCCCCTCCCTCAACTTAAAACCATTTCCCCTTGTCTGCCCTTATCAACCCTTTCAAAGAGTTGATTCCCCTCCTGTTTGTGGGCTCCCTTTAGGTACTGAAAGGCTGCAATGAGGTCACCCTACAGCCTTCTTTTCTCCAGGCTGAACAAGCCCAGCTCCCTCAGCCTGTCTTCATAGGGGAGGTGCTCCAGTCCCCTCATCATCTTTGTGGCTCTCCTCTGGACCCTCTCCAACAGCTCCCAGTCTTTCCTGCACTGGGGGCTCCAGACCTGGACGCAGTACCGCAGATGGGGCCTCACAAGAGCAGAGTAGAGGGGGACGATCACCTCCCTGTCCCTGCTGGCCACCCCTCTTCTGATGGAGCCCAGGATACCATTTGCCTTCCAAGCCCCAAGAGCACACTGCTGGCTCATGTTAAGCTTTTCATCCATCAGGACCCCCAGGTCCTTCTCCGCAGGGCTGCTCTCAAGCACCGCTCCTTCCAGTCTGCGTGGATGCCTGGGATTCCTCCGGCCCAAGTGCAAAACTCTGCACTTTGCC